ACCGACCAGACACCAAGAAACTGGACCTGCAGCAGCGTCTCCCCATGCAGCTCTGAGCCACAGCAGCGGCTGCGACAGAGATGGGGGGTGGGGGGAGCAGCGAAAGGGGGAGGGGGGAGGCCCTTAAAGAGACAGCAGCTGCGGCACTGGGGGCTGCTGGGGACAAGCGCCACGGGCGAGCGGGTTGGGTTCTTTTGGGGACGCGCGGCTCTGCTGGATAGCTGGGAGCAGGCTCTGCGTCCCGACGGGAGACGGGAGCCGGAGTGGGCACTTGGGACTGCCTGGCCTCCCCTTAGGGGTCCCTGCTCAGGGTCCCAGCCAGAGGATGCCCAGGATACAGGCGCAAGTAGCAGCATCTTGCTGAAGGAATAGATGGCAACCCAAACACCTGGGCAGGACATCCTTCAAACGACACCCCCCTCACCTGCCCCTTCACCGATGAATGCCAAAGGCAACTGGCAAACCCGAGGTGCCTCTTGGGTGCCTCCCGCCCTCGATTCTGCATGGAGCTACCTTAACACACTGAGGTCCCTCGTCCTGTCCCTGTCTGAGAAGTCAAAATGAGGAATGACCCTCCCCAAGGTCAGCCAGTTTAGAAATGGCAGGGGCCTCTCCCGCCAGGAATCAGAGGGAGACCAGGAAAGCACTGCCTCCCAAAACCCACCCCAGATGGAGGATGTCCACCCCCACCCCCACCACAGCCCACCCCAATCTTGAGCACCAGCCACCCTCGTTTCTCAGGCTCTTGGTTCCCCTCACTTCTCTGGACATCCAGTTCCAGGAGTCACACTGCTGCCCAGAGCCCCCAGGGTCCTGTTATTCTGTCGGGGGTGGAGCCCGATCCCCTTGCGACCTTCTGCATGGTGCAGCTCATGCTACCCGGACCACCCTGCGGTCTCCAGGCCGGCCCGTTTATGACCATGAGCCACCAGTCCCCTTTCCACCATCAAAGCCCCCTCTCCATCTTCTTTCCAAGACAGAGCCCAGGGGCCGGGATTTGCAATCGTGTGCCTGCTCTCCTGGCACTCTTTGGGAACAGACTTTCAGTTGCCGGGCCTTGGGCAAACCAAACCAAAACCGAAACACTGAATTCACAGCCAAGGGGTCAATTCTGATTCAGAGTGAGCCTCCCCC